TTCCCGATTCTTGATTTGACATCCTCGTCCGTTCCTCCTGTGGTTGAGATAATGCTCCCTAGATAAGTGAATGAAGTAACCTCTTTCAAATCCCTCCCGTTGATGGTGATTGGCGGTGGATGTTGCTGTTGTTGTTGTTGGTTGGTTATTTTCATAACCTCCGTCTTGTCTATGTTAACCTGCAGTCCTGTCTTTGCTGCTTCTTCGACCAGTTTGTCGGTTTTTGCTTGTAAGTCTTCGATTTTGTGTGACATCAAACATAAGTCATCCACGCGCGAAATCCAGGTCTTCCAGGTTCTTCACTTCGGTCCAGGATATCCCTGTCTTCTCGTTTCCCACTGTCTGACGCATAATCCAGTCCACCACAGCTAGGAATATCATGGGTGATAATAAGCACCCTTGTCTGACTCCTGTGTTTACTCCAAACGCTTCTCTGAGTTTTCCGTTGTGTATCACTTGACATGTGCCGTTGTCGTACAGCTGTTGAATAAGGTTGGTGAATATTTTGGGTACGCCGTAGTACTTGAGTAGTTTCCAAATTACTTCGCGGTCTATAAAGTTGAGGTAGAGGTTTGATTGCCATTCCATGCTTTGTTCTGTGATGATGATGCGTAGAGTTGCAATTTGGTCAGAATATGATTTGCCTTTCCTGAATCCAGCTTGTTCTTGTTGGAGTCCTGTATCCAGTGCGTCCTTTATTCTCTCCAGGATGATGCGACTCAGGATTTTACTTGGCGTTGACGGGAGCATGATTCCTCGCCAGTTCTTGCAGAGTCCTAGGTCTCCCTTCTCTGGTAGTTTAACAAGGTAACATTTTCTCCAATCAGTAGGCACTTTCCCTTCCTTCCGGACTTTTTGCAATAATGGAGTCAGCATATCTGCTGTTATCTCTGGGTCCGCCTTCAGCGCTTCGGGTGGTATTCCATCTGGTCCAACTGCTTTCCCAGCTCTCAGAAGCTTGATTACACTCAAGACTTTAGCTTTCGTTGGAGGATTGGTTTCAACATGCAGTTGTGTACGTGCTGTTGTTGGTACTTCTGGACGGGTTGTAGGTGGCGGTCGGTTCAAGAGTCCTTTGAAGTGATCCGCCCATTGCTTAATCTGTCTTTTTTTCTTGGTGGTCAGTTTCCCTTCACCACCTCTTGTTGATTTCCTCATCTGGGTTAATCTCCTCCCGAATAGAGACTTGGTTAACTGGTATAATGTCCCCAGGTCCCTTTTGCCTGCTGCCTTCTCAGCTTCAGTGGCCAGATTGTCGTAGAATTGTCTTTTGTCCTTCCTGGCACTCTTCTTCACTTCTTTGTCCAGTGCTGTGTAGGCTGAGCTCAGTGTCTCCTTCTCCTGTCCGTCTTTTCATTGAATCATTTTCTCTTTCACCATTCTCCTCTCTTCTATTATCTTCCAAGTGTTCGTTGAGAGCCATTCCTTGTATTATCTCTTCTTTCTTCCTAAAACCGTTGAACATGCTTCGTTGAAAATCGCCTTCAGAGAGTTCCAATGGTCTTCCGTGGATGATTCCTCAGTGATGTCACGTAATGTTTCTTGCTTTGCTCTGATAATTGCAGTGAAGATGTCCTTTGTGGTTGTGTCTTTCAGTTTTTGAGTGTTGAACTTGCATTGTGGCCTACCCCCAGCTATCCTCGAGGCTTTTAGCTTCACCTTGAAATTCCCTTGTACTAGATAGTGGTCTGAACCCACATCTGCTCCTCTCCTCGATCTTGTGTCCAGTAGGCTCCGTCTCCACTTCCTTGAGATTGAAATGAAGTCTATCTGGTTTTTGGTATGTCCATCTGGTGAAATCCATGTCGCCTTGTGTGTATCCTTGTGTTTGAACTCACTGCCACCAATCACCAAATCATTGGAGGCGCAGAAGTATGAGAAGAGTTCACCATTTTCGTTCATTTCACCGAGGGCCCCGTGACCCTCTATTGTCTCCTGATAGCTTCGCATTCATATCACCCATCAGGATTTTGATATCGCCATTTGGGACGTTGTCCATTACTGTTTGTAGTTGTCTGTAGAAATCCTCCTTCTTCTCTTGTTCTGAGACGTTTGTAGGCGCGTAGCGTTGAAAGATTGTAACCTTTTTTCCTTTTGAGTTGAACCTGACTGTCATTATCCTGGAGGAGATTGGTTCCCACTGCATGAGAGCTTTAGCCGCTATTGGTGACATCATGATGGCTACTCCCCCGGTGTGCTCGTGATCGTCCTCTGGGTGACCGGAGTAGATTATTGTCTCTCCAGTTGATAGTTGGCTCCTTCCACATCCGTTCCATCTGCTCTCGCAGATTCCCAACACTTCTATTTTATATCTCCTCATTTCTGCGGCTACCTGAGCAGCCTTTCCAGTTTCGTACATTGTACGAATATTCCACGTCCCCATCCTTATTTTTGCTTTCATCGAAATAAGGCACATCGGCTGACTGGCTTCCCGAAGGCTTTCACCAGCCTGCGTCATTTCACTTCCCCGATTCCAGCGAAAAATAAGGTCATTGTTTGCATTTGTAGAGTTTTTAATATATTTGTGCGTTGAAGTTTTAGTAGCAATTTGGTTAAGTTTTGGGGGTGGATTTGCTAGCACTACGCCCCAACCCTCCCTCTTTATCCGGGCTTGGGACCGGCTAGAAAACTAGCGAGCTAGTAATCTAGACGAGGTTAGCTTGGATAGCCATTGTCTAATTTCTCCTTAAAATTTATAAAACGTTCTGTGATTAGTGCCACAATAAATTTTTCAACAACTGTCAATATACACACTAACTAACCTGTCCTCATTTCTTTCTTAATTTGTTTGAATCATTGGACTAAACTCAAGGTCCCTGGGTCGCTGATTCCTGAGCCTCAACAGAGAAGGTTAGTCGATTAGTGTTTCCAAGATATTTCTGTCCACAGTCTGTAGCAGGGCAATGCTCACATACCAAATTATCTTAGATCTACCATATTTTAAAGGTAACAGTTCCTCGGGATAGATGTTAAAGTATGTGGTTTATGCAAGGACGAAATGGCGACTGTTTCCACACAATATCGTGTGTGACAGTCGTCTAGTTTTGTATAGCCAGCAGAAGACCACCGAATTTAAACGACTTCCGCAAATCAGAAGGAATAAAAACAGGGCTATACGAATGCTTTTTAATTCTCTATACCATGGAGACCTACCGTTTAATTCAACATAGTAGGATTTACCAATCACAGCAAAATTCACAGTAAATATGGTTAAAACTAGAAGACATCGAAGAGTGCAGGAAAAACCACTTCATACTCAGAACAGTAGTTGGTTGCTTTACTGAATCCTACTAATAACGTTTTCGTCAACAGTAAAGAATAGACACCGAAGTCAAATAACCCTGAATCAACCAATCAGATCGCTCGGCATTACAAATGGCTGCTTCCCATAATATTCGCTACAATTTCTTTCTGATTCAGGGTTAAGGTTAGGATAGGATTGAAGTCGGTTTATGGTTAAGGTTAGAGCGAAACTTGCAACGATCTTAAACAACGTCCATTTGTTATGTTGAGCGGTCTGATCGGTTGTTAAAAGTAATTTGACTCTAGTGTCTATTCCTTACCGTTGTCATATATATTCTCTGGTGTGATATCCATAAGTTATCATGGGAGCTGTTCGAAAGCGTCATTTAGTACCTTGGAATTCACTACAGAGTTGACGTTGTGGTACAACTTTTCCCCCGATTTAAACTATACGACACACCCAATTTAGTCTTCAAGGTCTATTAACTGAATTATGTAATAAAACTCTTACGATTTGTTTTAGAAGTGGCTTACCAGTGCGAAATATCTACCTAAGTTTCGACATCAACAAGTTTTCTTAAGAGGGGATTGGAATATGGGTCATTGGGTTTGGTACTCGACTCTTAGCTACTGTGATCCGAGTGTGAGTGGCACTCAGTCAGTCTTGGACTAAGCGACGGGGTAACATCTACAGGTTTGGCTTACAAGTGTGAGCTCGTGTAATATGAATTCCTGATAATTAATAAAGGTTAACTTGACTTCAAATAGTTTACATCTCGTCGTGAGGAAGAAAGACTTATGGTAGTCTTCAGAGGACGCTAGTTGCCACGAACATAGTTGTCCATCACATTGTCCTATGGCTTTTACCCGTACGAAGTTGCATCCTCCACGATATTTTTATAGACTCCGGTAACATATAACTTTCTTGAAAGTGAGTGTGATGCTTTGGTACAGCTGGTGATACAACAGCAACCAAATGGGACCCTCCAATAACAAACGCGACAACTGCACTACACATACTTTTATATTCTCCTGTTAAATGCATTTGTTGGAAAGGCTGCATCAATTGCTATTGAGTAGTGTATTTCAGTCTCAGCTTCAGAAAGCAAGTGGCGTAAATACTCTTTAGAACTAGTCAATCTTTGCATCACAGGATATATTTGAGTGACGTTTAAACAACCTATATCCGAGTCACCTCTAAGTTTAGGTAGATACGATTTTAAAATGTCATACTGGGGTGTTTAAGGACTACTCACGGTCGTAGTTTTTCTATATTTCTTGTCTAATGAGTGTGGCAAGTTGGCTCTATCATTCGACTTTTGGACAAGGTTCGAGTTTAGCTCTACCACTCACTAAAACCTAAGGGATTGGATAACTATCACTATAATAAGTCCGGCGTCTAATCCGTTGTGTGAAAAATGTGTACTTTGTAGGCGACGTACATGCCCAACTGGAAGAAATGGATTTGTGTTTTTTATGTGGTTTACTATCGTGTGTTTTGCAGTCCACATCCCTATTTGGCGTCTTTAAAGGTAGACTGTTTTGCGTAGATAAAGATAACTCAGAAATAGTGGCAGTTAATATGATGTAGTCGATGCTTGTGGATATATTTGCTTAACCACTGTGTACTTACAACCTTGTCATTATTTTGCATCGACATGTAGCTTTAACATGTATTTTTTCAAATTATTTTAATATAGAGGTTGGTTAAGAGCTGGTTCTAGTTCGGTATCTTTGAGAAGGTTTCAGTTTGCGCGATGCCAGAAACGATTGCTACAAAGAATTTGAAAGGTAAATTTAGTATTATTACATCGTCAAATTCCTTAGATGGACAACAGGAGGAACAAGAGTTGGCCTCCAAAGCTCTTCGTATACAAAATAAACGCTTTTATCTGGATATCAAACAGAACAAAAGAGGCCGTTTTGTTAAAATTACAGAAGTTGGCACTGGAGGCCAGAAATCGCGCATTTTGATGTCAATGCCTGTTGCTTTAGAAATGAAAGAAAAGATAAATAAACTGAGTGACACATATAGCCAACTTCCCTCGCACAATCGGGAATCACTTGCTCAAGATGGGCGTATTGCATCAGACATCATTGTTCGCGATAGTAGACGCTATTATCTTGATCTCAAGGAGAATGAACGTGGTCGTTTTCTGCGTCTTGCTATGCTTTCTATGGGTGTACGTGTACAAATCGCTATTCCAGCTCAGGGTATGATTGAGTTGCGCAATGCACTGGCTGATCTTATACAAAATTATTCAGGAGATACAGAAAATGGTAAGTCTTAATTCATTGGTGTTTATACTTTACGTTAAGTATTTTATCAGCAAAAAGGTTCGTTCACAGATAAGTATTCGTTGGTTTAACTTGAAAACCATAGTGAAAAAGTAGACAGATTGGTTACTGCTTAGACGGACGCATTTTTCGGAGCTAAACTGCCTTTCAAAATGTTTTTTATTAACATCTAATAAGTCGTACGTGTATATTCCTTTTTATTTCGCTTACTTGTTCTTTTTCTTGCATTTGTGTACTAAGTAGTTTAAGATGTGGCTTGTGGGCTTTAGTATTCGATTCTTGGCTATGTAGTCCTACGTTCTGATTCCGATATTCTCATCGGTACTTACAGAAGTGCTGCTCCTGTGCTGGTAAATGGAAGTGTGCTGTGCTTCCTCATGGGTTTACTTTCAATGCATTTGTTAAGACTACTTTCGCAGTGTTAAATAAATCTTATGGTATATGGTTTTGGTTTTGTTAGCTAAGGACGTTTTAGTCAGAGGTCATATTTTTTGCGATTATTAGAGACTGGTATTATACATATACATCTTTTGTTGTCATTTCATTTACAGACATATTTTCAGACCTACCTGAATCTAAAGTACTCTTTGTTGGCAATAAAACATTCTACTTTGATGTTGGTTCAAATCGATTTGGCATATTTTTGCGTATCTCTGAAGTTCGTGCCAACATTCGTTCTTCAGTAACTATACCTGAACAACACTGTACACGATTCTGTGATATTATTACTGAATTGGCTAGCAAAATGTCTACTCAGAAGTTAACTAATGGTGTGTCTGAGAATGGTAACACTTCTGATCAACCTGAGGAAACAGTGAAGGAGTCAATAGAAAATGAAAATGGAGAGGTTCCATCAGCTGCATCATAATGTGTTTGTTTGTTTGTTTTTGGTGGGTTTTGTTTCCCTCGTGACTTTGATCTCTCTCAACAATGCTTATTATGGCATTTATTAGCACTAATAATTGTGATGCATGTTAATCTGTGTTCACTTATAATAATATTTGTTTTTACTTTTCAATGTTTTAATGTGTTTTACTTTAATATTTATTTTTTTCCTTTTTTTGAAAAAAATATGTAATAGTTATTTTATCTTTTATTTATATGAATTAGTTTTGTCTTTTCTTAATATTAGTTTTATTTATTTATTTATTTTTTTCTTATGCATGCCGATCGTTCAAATTATAATTATTAATAATATCATTATTATTATTATCATCATCTGTGTGTGTGTGTATTTTATGTCTTATTGGGAAATGCACAACACAATCCTCATAATAATCTCAATCATCATTATATGACTTCAAAGTATCATATACAAATATATAATAATAATAATACCTAAAGTCCATCGTATGTATTGCGGTTTTTCTCTATCATTTTAATGTCACTACTACTAATCCAACTGTGAGCAATATTGAGGTTAGGCGTCGAGTGCTAGGTAAGTAGGAGAAATCAATCGATGAGGCCGTGAAGTTACATCGACTGAGATGGTTAGGACATGTATTACGCATGCCTAGCCATCGCCTTCCTCGACGGGCAATGTTAGCTGACATCGGGTCAGGCTAGAAAAGAGTCAATGGTGGTCAAACCAAAACATGGCACCATTCAATGAAATCTACAAAAGTTAGTCTAGGCCACGTAGGAAGGTGTAGACTTTCTGTTTGGGGTCGTCGGGACGGTAAAAACCAATGACTGGAGGCAATCAGTGATATGGCTCAAAGTGATCGTTCTCAATGGCTGGCGCAGATGCATCCACTCCTTGTGACTTATGATTTCCAATGAAAGTATATTGTTCTTCGTTATTACCATTCCTTTGTCTCACACCTCTGTTTACTGTCTCTAATATGCATTTCTCCTATTTTCTTCTCTTGCTTTGTGTGCTACATGGAGTGTGGCGACTTGAACTGCCGCACATATGTGCAAAGTTCTACGTGGGAAACAGACAGACCAGCTGTGACTGATATCTTGTGCCTATTGTCAAGATTATTTATCACATCACATGAAACATCACCCAGTAGTAGTTAACTAACAAATATCTTACCTTACTCAGTTGGGAAAGTGGTACTTTTGAAGTCTGTATCTTAAATGGTGCGTGCTATTTACCTATGGTGCCTGGTGTTTAGAAGGTAACTCTTCAGTAACTGTGAAAGTGTGAGCACAGTTGGAGTACGAACCGCCATAATGATTATGTGTGATATAAGGTGATCAAAGTTTCGACAAAAGTTCATTGCCATGGTAAATGGCTCAGTAACAAAAACAATAGGCTGAATACTGAGTAGGGCATCTCATATTGTGAATCTTTTCTTCTGCAGTCAAGTGAGTGGTCCTGTGTTACCACCTTTCAGTTGTCCATTTAGAAGCCGATGTAGCACATTAATAATTTAGAGCTGCTAACAGTTACCGAGGGAATACAAGTTTAGGACTCAATGGTTTTATACCGTGAGTAGTGGAGATGTGGCTCATTGGCAAGGAAGACGATTCTCAACTAATAGGTCACAGGTTCGAGTCCTACCCTGTCTATATCAGCCCGAGCAACTGGCTAGTATGTTCAACCCTCATGTGGCAACCTGGTATGTGGGAAATCTCTACCGAGTAATTGTGATCATGGCAGCAGTGCGCGACTTGGTTCAGCTGACTGAATTTAAAACTGAAGTATTGGAGGTAGACGAGACTTATTCTGAACAGTCTTCATTGGTTGTCTCAGTCTTGGGTAATTGATAAAGAACTGCAAATCACTAAGAATTTAATTTGGTCAGCACCTACTGCTGCATAATTGTATGGAGCCTATTTTGAAGCTGCGAAAGTTGGTAGAATCAGGGAGATTTCGAATCTAACATAAGGAGCGTTCTGACTAAGACCTCCAGCCCGTCAAGGTCAGAACTGAACTTCCCGATTTGAAGATGACATTTTATCCCCATTGAATGAAAGGTAGTGTTACTGGAGGCAGCATTCACGCTAGGGAGTTAGTGTTTGATAAAGACTCAATACATATGCTAAAGGCTCATCTAACTTCAGGTAGATTGTACCAGTTTAGCATTGTGGGGGGCGTATAAATATTCATTAGGAGGCAAGCCTAACGCGCAGCATCCCTAATAGATATTGAAAGCAGAGGATATGTGAGGGCTTCACCTATTAGGACATGTTTGCCTTCGGAAAATCACTTGGTTGTGGCGTAGCTATTTTATGTGAAACGAAGTGACTGGCTTACTTTCATATATATATATATATATATATATATATATATATATATATATACCTAAAAGTGCTGTGTAAGGCGAAGCACAGTTAGGTCAAATGAAAGAAAAGGATGGGTAGAATAATAGAAAAAAGCTGTCAAACCATCAAGGTACTGACTGTTGCTCAGGGCAACCGAGTGCGGGTTTCGGTGCAAAAACTAATCACAGTAATGCAAGTGTATTTATAGTTGAAATTCATCATAGTTATTGTACGCTCTTTCATCCACTTAAGATTTTAGAGTGGGACGTTCTACTTTTGATTTTATTCCACACTTCTGTCTTACACATTATTTAATACTTCATGTGCGAATTTAAAGTCTGACAAGTTGGAGCATTATTCTGTGATAGTATGGTGTTTAGTATGTGTGTGCCTGGAGTTGTGACTGATTGTTTAAGCACTCGACTTTCAGCTAAAGGGTCTCAGGCTTGATTCTCGCAACACTTACATCAAGCTGGTTAATATTCTTAACTTAAAGGCAATAAGTGTGGCTCATAGTTCGATACTGGTTAACTACGTTCTAATCAACCAACATAATTTAGAACAGGCCATAGTCTCTCATCTACTTCTCTTCACAAAATCTCCATGTCACCCTCGCTTCCCATTGGGATTCCAATCTAGCGATGGCCTGTATTGAGCGCAATGTCATTCGACGGCCTCCTCAGCCAGTGTATGCCCTATCTATCTCCATTTTCTCCTACATACTTGTTGAGCAGTCCGTTGGTTTGCTGCCAGCTAGATTTTCTTGTTGCTAATTCTTTATGGTCAGCCGGTCATTTGATCTTCAGTATGGAGCCAGTCAGCGAAGTGGGTAGGTGTTGATAAAATTCTGTAACATGTTGGAAATCCTTTTCGTGCCTGATACGCGGTGCAAGTTTCTAACCCGTTTAAAAAGAGTGACTTCATATTTGTGTTGAAAATCCGAATCGTGTTCTTTATACTGAGTGCTGAATACGTTACACGTTTCCTAGACGTCTTAATCAATACACCTTCGTAACACCTCAACAATTGAATTGCCCTACGCCTGACTTCAATATTAATGAATATATTATACCACGTAACACGAGAAGTTCAGCGGATGTCAGCTATTGAAAGAAATGACCCACTAAGTCACTATCTAGTGTTCAAACAAAGAATAAACTCTAATGACAGGCTTAGTTGTACTTCTGGTAGTCTATTGTACTGTTGTAATACGTTTACTAAAGACTAGGTTATCGATCGATTTGCCTAGATCGCGTTAGGAAGTATAAGACTGTCATTCAAGGTATCAGGGACAGAATAAAACACCAATCACTCATAAACCTGAAAAGATTTTACTTCCGACCGGTAAAAATAGAATACTAGTGGATCTTTTATATACATATATATATTGATGTGAATAAAGTTACTGAAATGTATACAAAGTAATATTTCACCAAAGAAAAGCAGCTTTCTCACGAAGTACTCTTGAACCGAAACGATTCCATTCTACTGGTGTTAACCACAAATCATTTAATAGATCAGTTGTAAGCAACAGTCTAGCTCCAAACCATGAAAGGTCAGCAGGATCTGAATGGTTAATAATTTCCACTGTTGGTATATAACCGGATGCAGGTGCTGCTGTTGTTGTTGTGTGTTTTTCGCGTACAATTGCAGTCAACTGTTCAGTTAACCATCTTTCTATAATCTGATTACTGATACCAGCTACACCTCCACCGGTTAGAATTATACAGCCTAATAGACGTCGACGTACTTCATCGGCTACTATACTTGAACTTTGTACAAGTCGTCCTCCAACAGGTGTTGGACCTGTGCTCTGTGCAGTCACCACCTCTGTACTGAATTGAGAGCTTACAAAATTTGCACATTGATTAATACTCCACCAAACTGCTTCTGGAAGTGATTCAAAATAATTAGGTCTTTGTGAAATGAGGTTGTTTCCTGGAGGTGCCTGCACAGAGAGAGATAGGGAGAGAAGAAAAGTAAGAGGAGTGTTAGAAAACGTAAACTTCATTTCCAGCAAATAAATATGAAATTTTTCAAAAGTTAGTTTGTAGGGATTTGATTTGTTGGAGAATTATTGAAAACCAAGGAAGAGTACTGGATAGCTACTCTTCCGCAGTATGCACCAACCCCCAGGGTTCGAACCCTGGACCTTTCGGTTACAAGACAAGCTTGTAGACCATTCAGTCACTGGAACCCAATCCAACGGCCTATCAATTCTAACTTCTATCAACCAGTGGTGTTTAGCGCCACGGCCAGCCAATGTCGTCAGCGAATATTCGTCCCCACACCCCACAGGGTGGACACCACTGGTCTGATGCTCACTAGTGACTGGGCTAAAGAACAAAGTTGCCTGGAGTTCTAGTGAGAAGTCATAACCAGAGGGGTCGACCAGGTCGGGTGTGAGGACAAATACTCACACCGATGACACTGGCTGGATGTGGCATTAAAAATCGATAGTTGACAGAAGTCAGAATTGATGGGCCATTGGATTTCATCGTACTGACTGAACAGTCAACCAGCTCGTCCCGTAACCTGAAGGTCCTAGGTGCGTACTAATGAAGAGACGCACGTTAGGATGGAGCAATCGTCCCATATTCCATGGTTTCCAGTGATTCTGAGATATCAAGTATGAAAGTAATGTGCCGGTTAGAAAAAGCTCTATACATGATCTGAGATGTGAAGTAGGACGGTCGTATATATTTTTCAAACATTTTGATGACTACACCCTGTTACCAAGTACTACTGTAGCTCAGGCTAGAACAATGTCATCATTTGGCTTTAGACTGCTGGAGGTAATCTCAGCAGGAGGCCCTGGACCTAGGTTTCGTGCTTGCTGTCACTCGTCAACAAGGCGTACCTACAACTTCGGAGGAAATGACATCACCTCAGAGATTCGAATCCGCATCATCGAATGCTGCTATAAAACATGTCACCACTGAGCTATTCAGGCTGCCGATTGACTTCCTATAGGACTAATGGATACGCTGATGTCTCCATTTACATTGGAAGTTGATGTCATCAGCATGCATAAAAAGAAATCTTTGCTAAAACTTATTTCTATGTAATCGCCCTTAACTGTAGACGTTGAATGAGGTACTACTAGTGATCGAAGT